TATTATGTTTAGTTGGCGCGTGTATTTATGCCTTGGCACACCTAGCAAGGTGTGCCAAGGCACACGGTAGTGCAACTGGCGGAATAGACCCTTTTGTTTTGGTTTTAGCCAGAATTATTTTGATATGGATGGGGGAATTAGTTTCACAACAAAATCACATGTAAACTTTTTCTTCACATGTTTTTTCCACATTATACTTCACAGGACCTATCATTTGTGAACAATGATTTGCGATATTGGATTTTTTGCAACAATACATTATTGTTGCAAAAAATTACCTTCTTTTCCTAATGTACAAAAATGTTTGTAAACATATTGTTTAGGGCTGAGCACGGGACTCAGAGATTATCGAACCGTTCTGAAAACCGAACCGAAAAATATCCATTGATCATTTAACTTTATCCAAACCGAACCATACCGAAAAATATTTGGTACGGTTCTAGAGATTCATAAAATATCCGAATCGAGACTGAACCGATACCGAACCAAGAACCGTACAAGAACCGGTTTTAATTCACAAAATTCATATATTTATAATATTTCATCTTATGCTCCTTTTCATCTTTGTATATATTTGTATTTAAAATTGAATTGCAAATAAAAACCATGTACATTATGTCTATGTTCATAAATTTTAATATTTGTTCATAAACCATGTACATTAGGTCTATGTTCAAAAACCATATATTTTATTCTCTTACTGAATGAGAGACATTAGTTTGAAAAAAAATTAAATTAATATACTTTTCCTATCACAAATTTTGGTAACCAACATGTCAAATTTTATTCAAGAATCATTAATTATAAATCAAATTCAATTTTAGAATGTTTAGAAATCGACCTTCATGATGAAAATCTTTCACAAAATTTGGAGAGATATATTTATTTAAAGATGATATATTTTTAAATAAAAACAAATTTATAGATATTTGATCAATTTAATAATAATACTACGACACACCAACACCACTGCTCGAACACGGCAAATGTTCAATACTTTTTGGTATTACACATGTATTGATGAAAAATCCACAACTAAATTTAAAATACGTCGTATGTTATTGTGGTTTGTGAATTATGAGATTTTTATTTTAGAATTATGGGATGTGAACTCTTAGATAACGTGTGTTTTAGTAATACTTGATCTACAATTAATTTGTCATGTTTTAAAAACATTATTTAACATATTTAATATGATGAAGTATTGAACTATTAATGAATGTTGGATTTTTTAAAACATACCAAAATTAAAATATAACTAGACAGTTATTAAAAAAAATAATTAAGAATCTAAGGAGATTCGAACCGAACCAAATCGAATCGAATCGTTCCGATAGTAGTTTCGAATACCAACCAAAACCGAAAAATAAAAATTTTCGAACTGAACCGTCCCGATTTTTTGGTACGGTTCCGGAGATCGAATTTAGTGATCTCCACATTTTGGTACGGTTGCGGAGATTTGTCCATCTCCAAACTGTATCGATTCATGCTCATCCCTAATATTGTTGCAAACTGCAAATATATATATATATATATATATATATATTTTACAATATTACTTCTTTTACAATAATATTTTACTTTTGTAAAAAGTACTTTCTGTAGTAGGGATAAAAAGGAAAAGTAGAGGATGGGTTGCATATTGCCTTTATGCACCCCCCTCCATAATTTTACTTTTGACCAGTTCAATACAAAGTTTAATTGCAAAAATTATCTAAAAAACTTTACTTTTGACCAATTTAATTACCAAGTTTAACAGTGAGCTGTACAAGTGATACTCACATTTATTATTGCCTTGCTCTTGGGAGAGGAAGGATGAATCATATTGCCTTATTTGTCCTAAACATTATTAGATAAATATATATATATATATATATATTTTAAACATACTGTCATATTTAAATGCCATAATTTAAAAACAAATTAACCAAAAGTACATCATATTATATTTGGGGGAAATGCTACGGTCACGTTATGGAATCATTCTGTTGGGTTTGTAACCGTTAGATCATCATGTAATCGTCAGAGATAATTGATCTAACAGTTGCAAATCCCGACGGATGGCTACGTAACGGAACCGTAACATCTCCCTATATTTTGTAAATTTGTTAAATAATATGA